TAATTAATTAATTAAAAACAAAAACCTGACTTTTACAAATTTAAACTTGAGTACCTGATTTTTAATTTTGGTAAAGTAAATGCCTGATGCATAAACTTTTCCCTTCATAGGGCAACTAGGTTTTCTTCCTTGGGATTTTAATCACCCTCTCGGCACCAATTTGTGGGAGAGACGAAAAGGGAGACAAATTTATCATCCCCTCGGCACCAATTTGTATAGCATTGCAGTGATTTCTACTCAACTTCTTCATCAACGAAATTGGAAGGTAGAATCAGATTTTATTAGTGTTAAACGGGCTTTATATGTTGAAATCGCATATGAACTGATAGTTGTGAATGATTTATTTTCAGCTCAACTCCTTATATTCTATTTATTTTTCCGAATTGTTGTTTCTTGATGGAAATCTTCCTTTAGCTGCAGTGATTTTTCGACAACATTTTAATGAATTTTGATGCGGTTGTTTAAGGTTTTCTCCTTTCCTTAAAAACTGGCAGCCCCCAGGACCAAAATCCAGTAAGAGCAGTTGCCCCACTAGACCCCAGGTGGCTCTGCCCCTGCCTCATGTTATATAAATCCAACCATATAAAGATTGAAATATTGAACTTTAAGTAAGAATTATGCGTTTTTCTTTGTAAAGTTTCAAACTTTACGATATAACCAGGTGGCTCTGCCACTCCCTCATGTTATATAAATCCTACTCTATAAAGATTGAAATATTGAACTTTAAGTAAAAATTATGCGTTTTTCTTTGTAAAGTTTCAATCTTTACTGTATAAAGATTGAGGGTTTACTGTTCAGCTTCCTATTATTTTATTAATATGCAATTTATGTTTGCTTGATTGGTCCATGTCCAATGGTCTAAAAGTTAACAAGAAAGAAAAGTAAATGGCGTATGTCCTTTTTTTTTGTTTTTTAGGTAATTCGAAAATGGGGAAGCCTTTGAAGAAGAAATTGAGAAAGGTGGAACAAAGTGACAGTGGTTCTGATTTTGAAAGCTACATGGAAAATCAAATGTTTCCTGATACTGTTAGNNNNATGTTTCCTGATACTGTTAGAGCCCCCCCTTTTTTAATTGGTTGTTTCTTTGTGATTATATTTGGTTTTTTTTTATGATGCTTATTTGCTCTGTTGCTTTAATCAGATGAATAATTTCAAGGAAGATGAAAAAGATGACTGTAGTGATGATTATGATAATAAAAACAAGGACGAATATAATAACGACGGTGATGATGACCATGGGAACCATGATGAGGATACTGATGTTGAGAGCGAGAATGATGATGATGATGAGGAGGAGGAGGAGGAGGAGGAGGAGGAGGAGGAGGGAGGAGGGTCGGAGAATGACAATGATGATGAACAGAAGGGTGCTGAGATGGAAGAGCTCGAGAAAGAATATAAGAAACTTCAAAATGAGGAGCAGTAAGTCCTCGCATTTCATAACATACCTGTTTGTACAATTTTTACTTATTATTGGAAAAAAATTAAAATGTGGTCTTTTAGCCAGGTTGCCAACTTAATANAATACAAGAAACTTCAAAATGAGGAGCAGTAAGGCCTCGCATTTCATATCATTCCTGTTTGTTCAATTTTTATTTATTATTGGAAAAAAATTAATATGTGGTCTTTCAGCCAGGTTGCCAACTTAATATCATTTTTGGGATCAAGTTTTGTTTATTCTTGGTTTTAGACATTTAGTGTATATTGACTTACTGTGACTGTTAAAATCGCCAATTACAATTTAGAAGGGGATAGTTCATATTAAACATATTAAAAGAAGTTTTAGGCTAAATGTTCTTTGAAATTCTTGTAAAGGAGTTAAGGAAAAAAGATTTCAATATTTGTGAATAGTTGAGAAGACTTAGTTGGATCAACATATGTTTTATGAGCTTCGAAGCTTTAGAGACCACGTGCTTTAGCCAATTGAGAGTACAGAATTTTTCCAAAAAATCAAGGTATCTTAGTTCATGAGTCTATAGGTTGGTAATATTTTATATTCATCACCTTAGACCAAACTAAATGTGTATGTGCAATCTATGTCATATTATAAATAGTTTTTCTAGAACTTGATTGCCCCTTTGACAAATTTTTTTCGATGAGCTTTAGAATGACAAAAATATCTAACAAAAGTCCTCAAATTTTCCATTTAAGGAGAATTTTATGTATGAAATACAAATTTCATATCTTTAGGCTTTTTTTTTTGGCTGAATATTACCCCTCCCCCAGGTGAGACTAAACCCAAACTCAAGTCACTGAAATGTGTTCTTGGTGGTTTTAATGCCATTGCTGATTTTTGGACAGCTAACTTGATATAATATCGTTTGTTTATGTTTCCAAATATAAATGGTACTAGTATCATAAATGTCCTCTAGTGATCTATTCGACTACTTGGCTCTCTTTGTTCTCTGTTACAATGACGCTGCATTATTGACTATCTAAGGTGATTTTATTTAAAAATTATATATACATATATTATATGCAAACTTATTCCTTTGTTGACCAGAGATCTTTTGAGAAATCTAAAGGGCCATAAGGACGAGGATATTCAAAAAGGTCAAGCAGTAAAAAATCAAAGGGTACAAAGCTTTTTAATCAGCATTTTGTCATTCAAATAATGTCACCTTTACTTTAGTTCAAATATATCTTCTTCTTTTTTCTGGTGATCTCTTTCTAAGAAATGTAGCAAAAGGGTATTTGGGTTGCCAAAAACCTTTTTGCTATGTGATCTAATAGTAAGGGAACATATTGGCTCTGTTTTCATGGTTGTTCCCCTTCTCTCACCCTCTCTCCTTGTCCATTTCTGACTTTACTGAGATGGCTTGCTGATATCTTTCCTAATCGTGTGAAGGCTCTTTGGGACAAAACGCTCGAATTCAGATTCTTGCTGCAAAAAGCATTCTCTAGTTCTAACAGACTTCCACAGGTTCACTTTGGATTCTAATATATATAATTATTATTTGAATTCTATGTACTTCATTACGATGCTGTATTTGAAAGAAGATATGTTGTCTGCAGGAACCAGTTAGGTCCTTATTCTATGATTCTGATAACGGAGCTAGTGAAGCATACTCTGATCTAATCACTTCCTCAAAAAAGACCTTGGATTCCATACTGGAGTTACAACAGGTGCGACGCTAATGAAAATATTCCTATCTCTATTTAGTTCGTATTTTAGCCCATGTTTGGCCCCATTTCTTAAAATTCATTTTCAACCACACATTTCGTGGGACCCATAAATTTTAATCGACTTTTTAACCACATATTTCACCAACTTTTATGAAAATCTATTAAAAATCTAATTTTTATCCAAGCCAAACGGGGATTAGTAAGCTTACATATTGTGCCTTATAGCTATGCATTCTCATCTTATAAACAATTGCCCTTTAATTTTACTTCTTACCCATGTATGTTTTGACAGGCGCTGGTTGAGAATAATCCTTCAATTGCCCAATCTGTAGATGGTATGACATGTTACTACAATTTTGTTTATTTTATACTGATATCTGAGTGTTAAATTTACTTCCTTATTTAAGCTTGTTGAACCTTCTGTGCTGTTGAGACTGTCATTTTTTAAGAACTTGGTAAAAGTTTACTTAAAATCTGATTTTGTTTGATAGATTATCTCAGTTGACTTGCACAATATATTTACAAAGCTAGTTGGGACTGCGTTATGTCACAAAAATGACTACTTAAACCATTTGATTTCCATCATAATTTAGTAATACTGCAGCAAGTAACATCTCTTGTGTGCTGTCCACAAATAATGGCCCCAAAAAATTTACATTTTATTCCGAAGTATACTTCCTCAAGTACATTACTATGTATTAAAAAATTCTTTTAGTGCTTACGATGTTCAACGAGGTAGGCTAGTATTATGTTGTTTTTTTTATATTGCAGGTGTACGATATCGTAACAAGTAATATAGTGGACCTTTGAGTCCGGATTATTGTTCCCACGAGGACTATATTTTAGGACTTAATTTAGCCTCCGTTTCTTTCTCATTTTTCATCCATAAAAATGAAAAATATGATCGTTATCAATCACATCAAACCATCAATTTTGAATTTCTATCTCTTGTGTGGGGTCCAATAATGGCTATATTTTTTATTTTCATTCTATAATAATGAGAATCAAGCGGGGCCTTAATTTTTCAAACTCCTATTTGACAAAAACAAATAAATAATTATAATTGTTGTAATTATTTTTCCTAACTACTTTTAATTAATAGAAAATACAAAATGATTACAAACAATGAATAATTGAAAATTCAAATATGTGATGTTAATCA